ATAACTGTCAGATTACTGAACCTTTCTTTAGTCATTGTTGAGCAGAGTCATGTTTATAAATTTCAAGCCGCTGAAAAGTACCTTTCTCCTGCTGAGCCTGATTGCACATGCAGGACACCGTATTCAAAGAGCTAGACAACGAGCAAGAATACTATTGACCGACAATATACAGAACTGGCGGAGGCAGCTGTAGTGTCAACTATTACTAGTTTATGAATATTTAACTATATATAAAGTCTCTCGTGAAGGACATAAATTTTGCAAATAACTTTCAGTTCACCTCTTCAAGTTGCTCTCTCGTAAAACGGCTTCCTCTTCTTTGCTTTATGGTTCCGTGCCTCCCATCGTAAGCCGAGATTTGCAGTTCGTCAGGAAATGGTCAATCCCTTTTTAACCTCCAAACTCGTTCAGGGTTTATTGTCAAATATTGAGCAATATTAGCGATGCTTGAAAAAAAGCTCAAACTTACAATAGTTAAAAACATAAAAAACTAAGAGCTCTTGAGTAGCACAAATGTTTTGTTACAAGTGTTCCTACGAAAACCTATTAGAAAAATATAACTATAAATAAATCTGATGAATATATATATTTATATACATAACATAAACGCAAAAGGAGCCACGTTTGAGAACCGTTTTAAGGTTAAACACTGATGCAGATGTTGCTCCGCGCAAAGCATAGCTTTCAAGTAGCCGCACCCTTCCCCCGACAAGGGAAAAACGTTTTACCCCTGTCGGGGGTGGCGAAATTCTTTAAACATTTTACCATTTGTTCCCATCTACCATGAGCATGCAAGGCGTCTGCACAGGTAACCCAGGCTCTGTCATAGTACCACAGTACGGTTCCAGTAAAATTACAGTGTTTGTATGCGGTAAAAATACCATCCTAAAATTTCTAGGAAATACTAAATAAAGATCAGTGAAACTTACTCTGCAGTTAATTGTTGTTGTTCTTATTGCTCCAACGAAGTTTCGTGATAATTTGCAGTAATTTGTTCAAATTCACTCTTTATACAATAATAATATACACGGTAGCAAACACGAGATGCCATTTTCGCCAACATGCTCTCATTCAACACAACTTTTTCCGCGAAATTTGAACTCCAACGGAAAATAAACATGCCAGGATCGTAGAAATAGGTTAGCAGCAGATATAGAAACCAATGAAGCTTTCCCAGATAGAGAAACGAATCCCACAGACTTTGACAAACTCGAAGGATATAATCCAAACAGACCGAGAATATGCTCGCCGAAGCAGCCGGACCAGATCAACGCGCGGCCAAGAAAATGAGGCCTGGGCACTGTACAAAAAAATTCCATCCCGGGAGTCCTGGGGCGGACCACCCTGGGGACCGATACATCATTTGCCCAAAGCCACCCTCCCCTGCTGGAAAAATACTTGATAGAAGGCAATTGTGTTTCCTAGCCGTACCACCCTGGCCTAGCACAGTTACTGCAAATTATCACGAAACGTCGTTGGAGCAATAAGGACAACAAAAATTAACTGCGGAGTAAGTTTCATTGATCTTTATTTAGTATTTCCTAGAAATTTTAGGATGGTATTTTTACCCCATACAAACACTGTAATTTTACTGGAACCGTACTGTTGTACTATGACAGAGCCTGGGTCACCTGTGGGCGTCTGTCTAATTTCGAAACTTTGCAAAGCAAAAAAATAGCGGGAAATTTACTGATTTACTACATTTACTTTCTTGTCAGTAAGGATAAACAAAAATGATTCCTGAAGTTCTAAAAAGTTTGGATCATGTGGATTATGATTTATGCACTAATATTCACTAACATTATTGTTCGGGTCGGTTTCTGATCACTACAATAGACCCAGGCCGTATGGTTTCAGTCTTTCCAAGGGAAAGTACGAAATCCGCGCCGAAATGATGTTCTCACAGAACACAAATTGGGCAAAAATTGACATCGGGTCTCGTCTTTTTTTATTATTTCTATAATCCAATCATTTAAAATGCTAAAGTTACATGTATTTGGATCCCCAATACTTACAGAAGGTATCAGGAGTCCCAAAACAGAGCAGCTGTTGATCTCCCATACCATATATAAGCCAATGTCAAGGAGTTTTCACGATCCCGTTTCTTTTTAGCATTTTAGAGTACTTTACAGATGCAGAAAAAAAAATAGATAAAAAATAAATAGCGATTAAAATACTTTTCCTGCCTTCAGTCTTTTAGCAGGTGTGTTAAAGGGAGCCCGACTATTGGAGACACACTCCTGGCGACAGTTTCTACTTACAAAGGCCGCGGAAGGCGCAAAATTGCCTCCGATTTGCCGGTTCCATGCAGAGCTTACCGTAAGCGCTCCAATTCCCTTTTAAAAAGTCTGGCTCTCCAACAAAGAGTTTCACTTTTTAATTCTTTGAAAAGGTCCTTTTAAATAAGGGCGATGGAATACAACATTACGAGCAAAGTTGAAACATCCGAACAGTGCTACAAAATATAGCAATATTTTTAAGCCAGATTACTTATCGTCCCCATTTTTTTCTCACTACAGAAATATGCGGACGTCCTCGAAAACAATTAATTAGAATTAATTTCGCGGGAAAGCCTGTTCTAAAAATAATTCTTTATCGGAAAGGGTTGACTCAAGGGTACAGCACGTATGGAGGCTCCAAGTAATAGGCTCCTGCCACTGTCAAGGTCCAAAACTTTAAGCAGGCCCAGGGCGCTTAATCGAATACATACGGCATTAGCCTGCGTAGCAGGCGCCGGTCTTCTTCGCTGCTACGCAGGCCGAACACGTGTGTTGCAAGCGAGATTTGAATCTGAACCGTGCAAAAATTGTTAGTACTATTGCATAGCGACAATTCTGAAGATTACGAAATATCGAGCCATTCCTCATTGTCTTTGCTCAGTAAAATGTTTCAGTTTAGTTATTTCGACTGCGCGACATAATGTAAGAAACTATTACTGGAACACAACATCTGCACCATCATCGTTTCATACTCCTCTGTGGCCTCAGATGTAGAGTTTCACGTCATTTATATCTAGCCGAATTTTCGAACACGTGCCTCAAAAAGGCCCAGAGAATATTCGCAAAGGAACAATAACAGGGATTTAAAGTTATAAAACTGCAATTTTTAAAGAGTGTCTAATGTCGAATGACTTACATACTAACACTGAAGGAAAATTCTTTCAACAACCGCTTTAGCACGAACAGAGTTAGTTCAGGGATGGTTTTCACTTCAATCAAATTTCTTGTTGCATTTTGCCAGAAGATGGAACTACTCGAGAAGGCACGCGGGAAAACCACAGAAATGATGTTAAATCGACAATCTTGTTCCAGGGGCGCCTGGCCTTATTCTCAAATCCCTTGACCAAATAAAGCGAGGACTCTAGGAATGAGAATGCTACCGAGAACTTGTGCCCATGCGAAGTAAGGAAACCGGCGCCACGACAGCCTGCTGGCTCAATTTTCGTAAGTGTGCGACCTCTAAAATGAGACGCTCTACAGACGTTTTTATCCTCCGTCTTGGAGGAATTTAATTCTTCAGACGAATTAAATTCATTTTATACGTCGCAGAATCGTCGATTTTTATTACATCGGAAGCTTTGATTCCACGATTGCGCTATAATTAAAAACCCCTCACGATACAGCCACCAAAATTAGACGGAATGGTGTATTAATCATTTCTGATAGTTAGGCAAAACCGTTTGATTGACACAATGATGAAAATTGATGTCATTATGAAGTATTTATTGGCAGAACCCAAATTCCCCTCAAAGTAGCCATAGAGCGAAAAATGGTTATTAATAAATAGTAGTAAAGTGTCTGATAAAATCAAGAAGTTGGCTGAGACATTATTTGTCTTAACCCTTTAAGTCCTAAGAGTGATGAGCGTCAAATTTCTCCTTGTAATATCACTGCTTTATAAAACAGAGTGATCATGAGAATTAAGGAAATGATCAACCAAGACGAATCTCATTGATACTTCAACAAATTCTCCCCACTACTTCTTTTGAAAACGTATAGGGATAACAAATGAGAATTTGAATTTTGATGGTACGGTTTAAAGGGTTAAACAATAGCAGTAATGTCGTGATGACGTCATTAAAGAAGGAACTGAAAGCATTCGCCGTCTTTGATCCGTCATTTTAAATTACGTAAATGTATTCCACTTTATAAAAAACTTAAAAATCGATGTAATCGTGATCAAAAATTTGATCTGTGTATAAAAGGATGCTTAATTTAAGAAACTTTCAGAGCAAAGAACTTTGTTGAAGATCAGTCCTGTGACCATGCTTGGCATTTGTGAAATCTTATGCTGAGATATTTACCCCAGTGATTGAGAATTTATGGAACTTATCTCCTGCTCGGCAGATCTGGCCAAGTCGTTGGAAGGAGGCTAACATCAATCCACTCCCAAAAGTCGAGACACCAGTCGAATATGCGGACTTTAGAGGAATCAATGTTACTCCAGTTATTGCCAGAACGTTTGAAAGAACAGTGTATAACATTTTTAACAAGAGGTGCCTGGAGGAATATCTGAATAATTCTCAATTTGAGTACCGTTCAGAAGGAAGTTGTGTTAACGCTCTGTTGAAAATGCAACATACATTTCTTACGGCATTGGATAAGCGGGACACCTTAGCGGTGAGAATGTTCAGGATGGATTTCTCTAAAGCCTTTGATAACGTTAAACACAATCTTCTAGTTGAAAAGCTGAAACATAGTCCACTTGATTCATTCATTGTTAACTGGTATGCCAACTTTCTCGAAGGTAGAAAACAAAGGGTGATTTTTAATAATTTGACATGCCAGTGGAAAATTGTTAACAAGGGAACAACACAGGGACGTGTCAGTGGCCCATATCTTTTCAACATATTTTATATTTTTGAATGACCTAGAGATAGATGGGTATAAAGATATATCCTTGTTTAAATATGCAGACGATTCAACCGTCTTAGTCACGATTACTAAAGATTCCCCGGATATATCTGACATTGCCTTGTCCAAGTTTATGGATTGTTGCAAATGACATGCATTGTAACACTAGTAAATGTAAGGAGCTAATTATGCGTAAGAGAGACAATTCAACTGTCTACCCAATGTCTCACAATATCAAACAATATAATAACATTTCTTTATTAGGCGTCACAATTCAAGGTAATTGTAAGTTTGGCTTGCATGTCAAGGCCAAGCTCCATGAAGCCAACAAGTGTTTATTTGTCATGAGAAGCCTACGTAAAGAAGGATATACACAAGATGAAATAGACCACCTCTTTAATTCAATTGTGATCCCTAAGAACGGCTTGGAAACTAAAATTTGATAGCATTTTGTTTTGAATGAGGGTATGGGCATGATTTTCAGTTGAACATGCCTAGAGAGCGTAAAAATTGCATTCAGTCTGAGGATTAATGAGAGAGGGAAAATTTTATATATTTAGGCATGACAAAATTCAAGGGAACATTGGTACTTAGAAATTACATGTCATAGGCATAGAAAAAATGTGTTCATGCCCTCGCAGCCCAAAATTGACTTAGCTAAACTTAGGTCCCAGATCTCTCGCCGGGTTGATAATTCATTCCCAGTTTTTGCTCGTCTGGTTTGGCATGCCGGGCATGAAATTGGCATGCCCAGCGTGACTGATTTTCATGTTCGCTCCAGCATCATATCCTGAGAATCACATAATCGCCAAATATATGCTAGGGAGCTTGAAGCTACAGGTTTCATGCCTGGCAATAAATGCAGATTATAACCAAAAAAAGTTATGTTTGTCACAATGTATGTCACGGGATCGACTGGCAAAACTGAAGACAGAAGCCTGGATTTATAAATAAAAAGCACAACAAAACAACATTATTCATGCATAAAATAGAATACTTCACTTGCAATTACAGATCAATTAATCCTTTTATTTCAAAGCGATACTGATATTTCTGGGTCCAGATTTAAATTTGATCGCGGAAAAGCGTTTTAAACAATAAGATAACAAATCTTCTCCGTCAGTATATGTCTCTCGGTCAACAGCGTTAAAAGACTGGTGAAAATTAAGCTTACCAGGACGTTCAAGTCAGTACGAGAGCACGACGTTAATACTGCAAAGACGTTCTGATTTGGTGAGTTTGGACTGCCTTCTCAGAGAGATTTTGCTTAGGTTTTCAGTGCGCTTCTTGTCGGCTATGCGAATTTTGCAAACTGTTTTACTCCTTGCTGACGATAGTCCTTTCAGCAACGTCATCTGCTCCATCCGAAGATACCCCGAGCTCGCACGAAATCGGCCGAATTTCCGCAGAAGTGTTTTCGGATGACGATGAATTTAGTTTGTTGTAGCGTGGCAGTTGTGGCGTCACGATGTCGTCATGTCTCTTCGCACTTGTTTGTCTTTTTTTTTTTCCTGCGGTGCATGGTTAAGATGTTGGTGAATGCTGGACAAGAAATGGATTCTGCGAGAGACTGTAAGTACAAATTTAGTATTAATTTGGTAAAGAAAAAGCCTGAATATCGAAAAAATCCCGTGAATTATCCTTTTCGCATTCAGTTTATCTTGCTGTTCAGCATGCCTAAGAACTCTCAGGCATAAGTGGTTTTCAACTCGTTCACTTCGGATTGTTTCTGTTTCTACGTCTTGTAATCTTCTTCTGCTGTTAAGAAGACTAGAGGAAACTTCAAAAATATAGAAACCAATCACTTTTGGAGACAAAATAAAATATCCGTAAATCAAATGCCAAAATCAGATTTGGATTTCGCTTTAAAAAAATGAACATGCTGCAGGTGTCAATGCAAAGTTGTAAACAACTCAATAAGCAGTCTGTGAATGTGCGTTTAGGTCCACAAAACTAATTTTTCTTTTGGATGTCTTATGCAAGCAACCACTTATGCCTTACATTGCTTGTCTACGAGTGTACTACAAAATGCTTTACTACAGTAAGCCTTTGAGAGGCGATTCTGGTAAATTTATACGACGCTAAAATGCAAAAAATTCTAAGCTCAAATAACCTGGCTGGGTCCGATTTCTGAATTACAAAATGTTCACGTTTGTGGGCACTTCTTTAAATAAACATAGTTTTTGAAATGACTTTGTACTATTTTAACCCGAAAATTATGATTGGGTTATAAAGCTTTTAAAACGGACGAAAACTAAGCTAATAAACATGTTCAACGTAAAAAACTAAGATTTAGTCGCTTTTTCAACTTGGCTACCTTTACGCAAAAACAAAAGCAAGCAATGAGGCTTTTATTCGACATATTTTCTGAGAATTTTATCTGATCAATTTAATGTCTCTAGCATTATTTTCGTATAGGAATTTTCCTAATTATTTGAGCTTTTAATTTAATAATTTTGATACTTTATAAACTTCTCATTTGATAGCTTCACTTTTTTTATACACCGATTAAGAAACAAATTCGCTCTCGTTAAATCCTATTTTATGACCTATTTATTAGAACTCTAGGTAACATGCAAATGATGTAACAGGGCAGGCTTTAACCTTTGGTCCTAATGTATTTTTTCTTCACAACCCCCAGTAATCAGTTGACGGGCCATGAGAGAATATCGCCACAAAGATGCGAAAAAGTTTTCGATGAGTTTCCTTTAAATATTCCTGCTTTATATGGGTCTACACCTTCCCTGCTTAAAAATGAAACTGTTGTTTGAGTGTCAGTCAAACTCGGGATAACCTTGACTTGCAAACCCAAATGCAAAGGTTTATTTCGCAGTAGAAGAGCGTGTAAACATCATCGAACAGCGCAATTGTAAATTGGCTAATGTGAAACCACGTTTCTTTCACTTTATTTGCCATGTATTTATCTCAATTGCACACCTTGTGAAATTAGCCTCAGATAATTAGTTGCGACCTTTAACAGACTCATCAAGCCAGTATGAAAATATCTTAAGAGAAGCTGAGCTCTACACGTTCTATTTCATTTTTTCATATTGCCCTTGCATGTGTTAACATTCCATTTCTTTTTTGTTACAGGTAACTTCCAGACATGACGAGGAGATAATTACTTTTCTACAGAGCAATTCTTTGATACTGTCAGTTATTACTGACTTATTTTGAGTTAAAAACAAAGAACACAGACTCTGGTAATGACACATAAACAATAATCCCTGGCAAGCCTACAAAACAAGAAAGAGGAACTCAGACTCCTTATCAAAATATGAAACGAGACAAAAACAGCTTTTCTAACGTACGGAAAATTGCGTTAGAGAGATTTGTAATTGCAACGTTATATTCAAGCACATTGCATTGTCGAACATCATAATTTACTGAATAATGGACAGTGATTTTGGAGCTTAGCTCAGTTTGTAATGTAATGAATGTTGAAAGATATTCTATAACCTTGTATTTTTAAAAGCTTTCATGGAACATAGATGCATTTTATTATGCAAAGAAAATAGTCTCTGTCTCTATTTTAAATGATTTCAGTCAATTCCATTTTATTCGCAATGTGAAATGGGAATCCTATTAAAGACTCATTAAAAGGGGTGAGGCCGTTTCTACAATCCCCCAAAAGGTCATCTCCACGATGACGCTGTTTTATTACTACGGCAGAATCCCTCAGGGTTTTACTTTCTTGTGAAAATTAGAGCTTTTGTTATTTAAACTTCGCTGGGACAACCAAATCTATAAAAATGAGAGGAATAGCAATGACGTCATCGTGTAAATGACCTATAAACCGTACATCAAACGATAAGTACTGTGATCTGTTTAGTTTTTTTTTTTAGCCAGGCTTAAAATATCTGTAGATTCAAGGAATTATAACCTGTGCGTTGAGAGCATGCCAGAGACCGATTTTGGCATGCCCGGCATGACCCAGATTATGGCTTGCCCGGCACGCCGGAGATTTTTCTGGGTATGAATTACTTATTACTAGAACCTAGGCTTCTCGCGGCCTGGGTGAGAAGGTCACGGAACCTCAAATTATGCTTACAGAGCATGCGAAATTCTGTTGCATGCCAATTTCAATGCAAAACCACTCTGGGGCCACCCCCTCTATTACCAGTGAGCAAATCATTGACGATAGGCATGGCAAAAATCCTTGCATGCTAACCAACATTGACAACGTGGCAGAAATGTCCTCAATTGCTGAGTCATGCCCTAGGAGAGGCTTTAAAATACAGAATTTCCTGACATGAATGAGGGAATTTTCCGTAAACAGCATGTGATCATGCCGGCTAGGACGTATTGCCTCCGTAATGCCCCTTTTTACAGCTAGCTAGGCTCATTTTTAGGTTCCATGGCCTGAAATGACGAAAAATTCATGCCCTAAATGTAAAAAGTCCAAAAACGTCCTCGAAATTTTAGTTTCCAAGCCGTTCTAAGTTATTATACGGTCTTTCAGTTTATGCAGCAAGTGTTTCCGAACTTACTGTTATACAAAGGTTTTTAAAAAGATGCTATAAGTATAGGTAATCAAATGATTTCGAGTGCAATTTGGAATAAATAAGCACGAGTAAATTTTTCAAAGACTAACAAAAGTACACGAGCCCGTAGGGCGAGTGCACTTTGTGGTCTTTGAAAAATTTACAAGTGCTTATTTAATCCAAATTGCACGAGAAAAATCATGTGATTACTTATTAATAATATACACGAAAAACATAACTACGACAACAAATTTTGACAGCGCGCGCGTTTTTAGTTCATTCAACGGATTGGCTGAAACAGACTACTACCTTTGTCAAATTCAAACTTTTTCAAGACCAACGCTTTCAAAATCATTCAGCTAAGAACTTGGAAATGTGCAAGGATTTTTTTATATGATCACCAGCCTGTTAAAGATAACTTGGTTTACAACAATCAGCAAGTAAGTGTTTTTAAATTCATCCTCGATTATGAGAGCTCGGCGTTTACAAGAAGCGTTTTCAAGAAGTATACTGCCGTTTTTAAATCAGGAGAACGCTTCGAGCAGCCAAAGATGAAAGACACTTGCTAAGGATTTTTAACGACTGTTTATCATTGTCTGTTCCTGAGACCCCATCATAGCTGGATTCATGGACAAATTTTTGAGATTTAAAACCCGAAAATGAAGGAGGCAATTTGTTTTCTTTCGACGCTACCATCGATGGGTGAGTGGAGCCACAGTTGTTGTGATGTCGGAAACTGTCAGTATTAATATAATATTTGCTTTTTCTCAGGCTGGAGTTTTCATTATTTTATTTGGGCTAATGCAAGATTCATCGTAGCTCTTCTTCGTCGGCTTCATCGTAGTCGTTAAGGAAATTTATACCTCTGTGGCCTGTGACACTAAGGATATGTTCTGAACTTACAGTCTTTGCTTTCTTCACCTGACTGCATGTTGTTTTTCTTGCACAATGATTCGTAAACTTTTTTCTCACTTTCTTTACGGCTAGTACCAGCTACGGATACTTTTCATTGTGTGAGTTGTGGTATTTTCACCCATTGGTTTCAGAAGTTTAAATTTTCAGTTTCGTTTGCTACTAAGGTAGAAAAAAAAAAGACCATCACATGGATGTTTTAATAGAGGTCTTCGCTCCACAAAAGACTCAAAGAGAGCAACAAATAACGTACATGACTTGAAATCCCTGTTGTTATCATTGAATAATCCTTGTTCATTTAAATGCCTGAAGACTGTAGCTGTCATGGTTTGCGTGTGGTTGCAACCGTTTTTGTTCTTTATTTTTTTACTTTAGCGTAGTCTGTTATTGGTAGCTTTTTTTTTAGATTCTCTGGCTCATTTTCCTCGATTTTGTCGACAGTATTTTTCTCTTAGCAACGCATTTTCAATATATTTAGCGAGAAAGACGTACTTTTTACCGTGTTCGGGTTTTTTTGGAATATTTTTTTTAACTTTTCTATTGTTGTTTTGCTTACAAAATTTAATCCCGTCGTCGTCTGCTGAAAACCATGGCCATTTTCTTGAATCTGTGTTGTTAAAACAGCTCTAATCTGATTGGTTCTTGTTGGTTTCTTTTGTGTTTTCGGCCAATCAGAAAGCATTTGTAATTTGCACTCGTGTTACAAGTTTGCACTCGTGTTACACATTTTGCACTCGTGTTACAGAAGAGCTGCACTCCTTTCTCAGCCAATCAGAATTGAGTAATTTTTTCGTGTATATTATTAGAGGCGTTATACGTCGGTCAATTACAACATATATGAACTTTTGGAGAAAAGCGACAGACGCCTTTTTTATAACCTCAAACGCGATGACCATCCATTAAAAAGCTTGCTCCCAAGGTACAAAGACTGTATTGCAAACCTTCGAAGGAAATCCATTGTGAGGCCCAGTATTAACACTGAACGTTTCAAAGATAGCTTTTTTAATAGATTAATTTTTAAATATAATCTAGCTGTGTAAATACCCCATATGTATTTTTAATCAATTTAATCTTTTTTATTCGTCTTAATCATTGTAATTTTTTTTTTTTTTTCTATCAATATATATTTTTACTGTAACATCAGATATGTAATTTTATCGGATGCTTTTTAATAAAGACGTTATTATTATTATTAAATTGCATATGTTGTAGTTCAATTTCATGGTGCTTGGTTGAAGGTTTAATGTCCCAATTTGTTTTGGAGAATATTTTTCAAATATTGTACGACTTGACTTATTGCTTTGTGGAAGTTTTCTTTTTGTGCAGTGTCCATAACACGAAGGTCCAGCCGGTCGAATAAACAACCGTCCTTAACTTTCCACTGTACAGGCGGCCAATGACTCAGCTAGTCTGTGTAGGTAAATGGGTGGATGTTATTGATAAGGTTAATATAACTCGAAAAACTTTAACAAGCATGTGTAGTGTATATATACGGCGGAATAAAACATGGCTTCTGTCATATCAAAAACTATTTAAAAAAAAAACAATCACATTGCTGACAGTACTGTGGCCAGTGCGAGGATTTGAGTACCCCAACACCGAGTATGCATTGGAAACAATAGTAAATGCAAGTCGGGACTTTTAGCAAAATACAGTTTTTGAGATTTGATTGTATCTTATCTTTCTCCTCAGGAACCGCCGGTGTAGGTCGGTATTGCTGAGTTTAAATTTTTCCCTGGACGTCAAGAGTAAGGTTTATACCATTATTCTTGCCTAAAACCGTGAGTAATTTAGTTGACTTTGCTAATTACTTCTGGGCTAAGGATGGGCGAACAAAATCATTGTTTAATTGTCTCATAGGCAGCGTAGGGACCAGTCATAAATTAGAAGGGAGTGAGAAGGTGCAAATATGGAGAGCGCCTTAATTTTCATGTCAACGCAGAAGACGGGGTTTCATGCAAAGTTTTTAGGGTTAGGGAGTATAAATGAAATCGATCTTCTCAGTCTTAGAATGATGTCAACCTTCTGTAAATAATACTAAACACTTATTGAATCTGATGAAGGTAGCCGAGAAAAAATGTTTTAACAGTCCATGATGTAACTTCAGGGTCCTTCTTTTCACATATACCCAAGACCTCTCCTGAGTTGCGTATAAACAACAACAACAAACATAAAAGGATAAGTACGGCATTGTCAAAAGAGAATAAAAACGTTATATCTTGTGACCAACTACAATAACTTAACAATTAGTTTCTGCAGTGGTGTAAATATGTGAAACAACTTGACATTAACATTGTTTTCTAAAGTCGAGTCCTGAACTGGATTTTAAGATACACTCAGTCACCCTCATAGCAAGCTTTTTTACCTTAGTCCCTCTCTTCCAAAAATCTTGTCACAAGGCCAAGTCGTTTGTCGGAATTTTCCCCCAACAGGGCCTCTCAAATGGCAAGATGCATTTTGTTCAGTTCTTTACACTGTTATTGGAGGGCTTGTCATTTCTGTCTACAAAATTCACTTATAAAAGTGTTTTCTGTATTAGATTTTCTTAATAACGTTTACCTCTATTTAAGAGGTGTTCTTTAAAGTCTTTTATTCCCTCTCGGGTGGTGGGGGACGGCGGCATGATAATTTGTGGAAACTATTTTGGAGGGTCAGCCTTTTTTCTGCACCTGAAAAGGGGAGGACCAGCCAAAAACATGCGCATCAAAATAATGCAACAGTCCTCCCCCTCCTCTAATTTATGACCGGTCCGTTAAGCAATACAGACTAACACTTTTTGCTCTTCCCGATGTCTTCGTCCAAGATCGAGACGGTAGCAAAGCAACTTAAGTCCGTTACCTTTTTCAAACTATTAATAGCAGTTTAAATGACGTGCAGCTAGTGCTGGCAATAGAGAGCTTGGTGGGCTTTTTGATGAGAAGGTTTTTGGGCCTCGAATTGAAATAAAAAGATGATTTTCTGCTTATAACTCAATACAGATGGTCCATGTCGGCCATAATGCTTATTACTGGCTTGGCTCACCTCTTTTGTTCTGTGTTTCTGCCAATCTTGAGATCAACTTCTTGGCGTATGGCATTTTCTGTAATTTTAGAGGAAGTTGAACCTACACGTTAAAACAAAAATTAAGGCTATGGAAAGTAGAAAAGGGTTTCCGGGGAGTCCGCACTTGCCTCACCTATTGAGCTTTTATTTCGCGGCGTGGCTTGTAATTAATTACTATACCACGTTTACATTGCCTCACTTTATAAAGCCTTTTCTAGATATAGAGGTCAGGGAAGGAGTGCAGTTGGTACCTGAAAATTAATATTTGCAAGTGGCAAGAAAAAAACATGAGGATGATGAAAGAGACCAACTTTAAGGACAATATTAATGTTACATGTAACTAAAGCTTATCAAGACTTTTCTTACCATAGTGCCGAATATAACGGCATCAAGTCCTCACAACGTTTTCCCTTTAACAGTAGACTGAGACGTAGTTGCTGATTCGTTTTCCATCTCAAAGTCATAATACGTCATCAAGGAAAAAATTCCTTCCTCAAGATCTTCAGGAAGAAAGAAAATGAACAATTTAATTCGTAATCACTTCAGTTTATTAAAAAAAAAACTGAAAAAAGGGCAAATATTACAGTGTAACGCCTTCAACCGGGGACACCTAAGGACTTTCAGCCAATCAAAAACCGCTCCTTAAACAAAGAATAGGGCGTGCAGACCTCATCGGGAACTCGATTGGTTAGTTTCCATCCTAAATTTTTCGCGGTTTAGAACGGTGTGTCGTATACACTTAGGGACTGATCCTAAAAGTACAAGTTGGGGTCGGCTGAAAAAATGCTGGGGTGGGTCACTGTCTTCATGCATGCAAAAGGGTTGAGCTTAGGAAAAGCTGGCATCCTTACAGGGAGGGGCATTTATGATATTTGCACTCGCTGTGCATCAAAAGGTGTCTTAAGAAAATATCGAAGTAAAACTGGGAAATTATTTTTAAAAGTAAATCGTAATTGTCTAGTTTAAGAAAATATGCATCAGGGGCATCCAACTTTCTCGACTTACGGACTTTCACCTTAAAAAAGGCAACGCACGTTAACAAGTAAAAATTTAAATTTGATCACGAGGAAAAAAGAAAACAAGATTCTTGGTCTCTGATTGGCTCACGCTAGGAGTGAGCCATTCTAAAAGGCGAAATTTAGGATTGAAACTAACCAATCGAAGAATAGGACAGTTCTTGTTGAGGTCCGCACGCCCAATTCTTTGTTAAAGGAGCGGTTTTTGATTGACTGAAAGTCCCTAGGTGGCCCTGGTTGAAGTCGTCACAATGTAATGAAAAGAGGAAGCAGAAAAAAAAAAAATCCCAAGATACTAACTTGCAACAAAAAATAGCAAATTGGAGGCTATTTTATTGCCTTACAAGTTTTCAGTAACCTTTAAAGTTCAAGGCCATAAACATCGACCTGGGTAAAAAAAATTAACAATCCTGATAATGTCAAGTTTTAAAAAGAAATTTATCAAGAAAAAGTATTTTCGAAAATTAGTAACAAATTAGTATGGGAGTAGTAAAAATAGCATCGCCAAAAAGAGCACCGTAGCATATTCAACTAAACATTGTGTCACTGAAAAGTGTCTGATGTATAGTTTTAGGTGGCAAAGTCTCTGACAACCTTAATCCAAGGAACGGCAACCAGCAACAGAAAAAAATGTTTACTAAACGTTAAACTTATCAACAAGATGTGGTTGGAAGCGGGTGCCTTAAAATGGAAGAGCCTGGATCGCAAAAAGCAGCATTGCCTTCGAAAGAGAAATTTCGTGAGTTTACAAAATTCCTGAAGATGACCGAGGAGAACATGTCCCCGCTCGTTTACCTGACACTCTTTCGTCTCTACCCGAAGAGCGGCTGTCTACTCCAGGTTTTTGGGACGGCTGTTCCCTCTCTTTATTCAGTTCTTCTGCCCATTTATCAAATGTCTGTTTCGCAGCAAATTTTACGCGACGATCATCATGAGGACCAAGTTCAAGACACCATTCTCCGTCATCCAACCAATGCCAGTGGCTTGCAGCCTTCAGTTCTGCCTGGAAATTAAAGTTTTGGGGGCTTTCTGGATAGTTGTCATTCAAGTAGACATTAATGGCGTGCACCAGCATACTAAAGCTTATCAGTGACATTCCTCCTTGGCATCGAAAGGGTTCTGATTTAACCCAGGGTAAAGAGCTCAATTGGTCAATAATTATTTTTCTTGTTTCTTGTCCTCTTGAGCGTGTGGAACTCTTGGCAGCCTGTGATTACAAAGCACAGAAGGTTTTTTGTATACTGTACATCTAGGTTTCAATTTAACACCCAAAAAGTCTACACCTTATTAAGACGAGGAGAAGGTTCCAATCAAGAGAGAATAAAGGTCCTTCGTCCTCTCTTGGTTTCAATCCTAGTCTTTTCCAGACTTTAAGTCAAATAACTGCTCATAGATTTTTTTTTTCTACTACAGGAATGAAGAATTATAATTTAATACTTTGAAGAAAACGAAGCAGTTTCTTTCTTATGTTTTATCAGAACAGCGCCAAGGAACTAAAATTAACGTGCATGTCCACTGAAGGTAAAACTAATGCAATTTCCAGGAAAGCAAAAAGCCATGTTGACATTTATGACCCAATTCAGTTTGTAAGAGCAACGGTTTCGAGCAACTGTGGAAACGCGAGAAAAAAAAATCACGTTCTCTGAAACTTTTATGTACATCATATAATATAACCCATATCAGTTGATTCCTGGTAAAAAACAAATTAGGAGTCAAGTTGAATTCACTGGAAAAACAAACTCCTCGCCTGACAGTTACGACCAGTTGCAAAAGTACTTGAGACATTGTACTGTTATTTGCCTTGAATGGCCTCTCCACTCTTGCGCTTTTGATCCCCCCTCCGCCCCTTAACAAAGTTGCTAGCAATACAAGACCATGCTCAACACTTGGAGGAACAAATTTGAATGGAAGGGAGGGGGGAGGTCAGTATTATATATCACAAACCTGTGACCAGCAGCGATTTGAAGGAAGAAAGATCGTTTTTTCGTCCGACTGTCTCAACAACAACATTTTGCAACTGGTTGTAGCTCCATAAGCCACTTCTTTATTAGAGAACGTCATGGATACTTTGCATCTAACTGAACTTAACACAGTTACTTTTCAACTACCTCGTTTAATTGAATCACGCAAACTCCCCGAAACTTCGGATGATCTTCGACGACTAAGTTATCTGAGTTAGTAATCTCAGTTTGCCATAAAAAAACATCCGGTTTTGTTCCAGTTGTTTGTCGTCTTTCTTGGTAGTAGTCTGGGTGAAGCGGATAGTACAATTTCCGATTCGTGACTAGCCATACTGGAAACAAGATAAAATTAATAATACCTCCTTGGAGTTTCAAGGGGCAGAGTGGCAAAGAGGTTTTCCGTAACGTGTGATGGGACCCAAATTATCAGCGCGATGGGTGATCGGGCCCAAATTAGTCGCGTTGAGGCGTGATTGGGAAAGTAGCGTGATGCGTGACTAACTATTTTCACAATGCGTGACGCATAACTTCCCTTGAAATTTCCGTGATGGTTAATATCGTTTTGAACTAGAAGCAGAGACATAAAAATAGATAGTTATGACACCAACTTCTTGCCCTTTTTCTCGTTCCTCGACCTCTGATTTCCTCAGATCAAATGATGATATTTTACTTTATTTTTCTGTGATACGTGATAAAATCGGCGTGATGCATGACAGGTACTCCCTTTGCCACCCTGAAGGGAGAGGGGAGATTAAGTCGCTCGTGAAATTATCTGGTTAAGGGAAGCTGTTAAGTATAGACGTGTGCCGTCGAGGCCCTCATACCCTGACCCTGTTTAAGGTAAAACTTCAGCTCATTTCGCTACCCTGCTTGAGAAAAGAGACTTTATTTTATGACCCAAATTCGTTTAGTTTTGCATAGAGAATAGCCTAAGATCATAGAATTAGATTTTTGGAAAAATGCTGTTCCAACAAATGCGGTCCACTCATCTTACGTATACGTATAATTGGGAAATAAAGAAGAAGCATGGATGTTACGTATGATGATGACGTATGATGTTACTAAGAGCTGCACATATGACATAAAAACGCAGAGAAAAGAATGGAAAAGACAGCAGGTTCAACCCTTACCATATATGTTTTGTCACTAAAGACTAACCATAAAAACTGAGAGAAAAAAAGTTATTTTTGGCAAATGACTTATGACGGCATGGGAAATAAACTAGAAAGGACCATGAACGGGCGGGAAATTTAAGTTTATATTTTAATTCAGGGTGTAGGAATCAGGGTTTGAGCCAGGCCGCGCCATTGCGCCAATCCCGCACTGCAATTGGGATTGTCCCTTTAAAAAACGGCCAAGGGGACAATTTGTCCTCTTCAACATTTAGGGAAAAAACTCGAAAAGAAGCACACACGAAGAGATTTATTTCGGTACAGACGTTGCAAGCTGAAACAGAACGTGGAAAGTATATTTTATCGCACCTTTAAAGTTCATTCCAAAGTTACGTTTCAGTCACGCTCTACTGCTATTATTGTCGGAAATCTAAGACAGGGCTTCTGATTTTTCGCGCGGTCGTGGAGCCGCGGAATTCACAAAAACACGAAAAATACCGCGAAATTTGGTAGAAATCTTATCAAATACATGTCTGTACAACATTATTTGAAATTTATTTCAGCTATAGGGGATATTTACTTGCCGTAAACTTGCAAATTTATCTTGGAACTTCGTCACTGAAACCTGCAAACAGATTAGGTTGCGAAAAACTGGGCACTAGCCATCATGTTAAAGGCTTTGCCATTGGTTCATTTCTGGAGCGTATTGTTGTTGAAAGAGCAAATGATGACCTCTGTTAGAAAAACGTTAAAAAGGCTGGTCTGATCAGCGCAAAACCGATCGATTTCTAGCGAAATTTGCCTTGAAAATAACCACAAAATCGGCCGTTTTTTACCGATTGCTTTTCGGTGAAGTTTGCCCCGAAAACTCCCGCGAAATCGGCCGATTTTTCCGCGAATTTGTCCCTAAAAATCCCGCGAAATTTGACTTTTTCGTCCGAGACCTATCAGAAGCCCTGCTAAGAAGGAAGGGTGTACAAATTTCTGTCCCCCTAAAAATGAAAATGTCCCCCAAAATTTTAGCCAAGGGGACAAATTGTCCCCCAGTGATCAAATCCTAGCTCAAACCCTGAGGAATGGATGAAGTTCATAGATATAATGACAAAACTTCATTAAAGTAGATGGTTTTTTACAAAATACTTACTTACCCTCATCTCTGTTTACGTCGTCGTCAAATATTGGACCCTTTTTTGATCCAGCACGATAAACAAGCCTCCCATTTCTATCAGATGACAT